AGCGAGCGATGGCTGACTATTGATAAAGCCAATCTCTCGCTCAAATTCGAAATTCATGGCCTTCAACTCGCAGCCCCCTTGGAGAAAAAGTTCCCTCTTATTTAGCGCTTCTGGGAGGGGGAGGGGGGAGCAAGGCCCAGGAAGGGGAGGGGGGGAACCGAGAAAGAAAGAGAGAGAGAAAAAGGGGGAGACAGAAAGAAGGGAGAAAAAAATCATAGAAGATCGCTCGTGGGGTGTTTTTTTTCTAATTCACTGATTACAGCCGTATGGGGACCGTGCTACTATTAAACTATTGAATTCATGGAGACAAGGTTGAAATTGGACCGAATTGGCTGTCACATGATTGCCTCTGCCCAATGACAATTTGGGCTTTAATCAAAAGAAGCCACTGTCTGTTTGATTGATCCAAAAAAGTCGAGAAGGAACGCCTCATTGGGGCCGGAGAGGCATTATTTACACTTTTTTTTTAGGAGGAGGCTTATCTCCGCTGCTCGTTCGCTCCCCTTTTGCCTCCTAATCTGAAATAATATCTGGGGTGAGTGGCTGTGCTTGTGTGAGAGTGTTTGTGTGCCTGCGTCTCTTGCGGTCGCCGCTTGGCCGTTCGTTCCTACCGCCGCCGCTGATCCTCTAGCCTCCGCGGCTCTGCTCACCCTGTAGGGCTTCTGCCCCGCTTGTTCCCGTCCTGCGCCCTCCCCTCTCATTGTTTGGAACTGTCAGGCAAGCGCTTCGCACCTCACAAATCATTTAAGCACCTCCAATCTGACGCCTTGAGTCATTAACAAAGTAATCCATTAATCTTCAAAGTTTTGACATTGCCGGCTCCGCATCTCAACCGCATCAGAAAGTTGCACCCTGCCTGGGTTGCCAAGCGTTGAGCCCTGCTTTAGATTTGCATTTTATTTGTATTTCTTCCCTTCACCACCAGTCCTAAAGAAAGAAATAATTACTTCCTAAAATTAAAAACAAGCACCAGGATAAGGTGGGTTTTCCCACCCCTCCTCAAGACCTGGCATCTTTCTGCATTTCTCAGGGGGCGGGGGCGGGGGGCTCCACTTTTATGAACGATACAGTACAGAGAACAATTGGCGACCGATTTTGGCATGTACCCATTGTGTGGAAAGAATTTTCTCCAGGAACTTCGCTTCCATATGCAGAAGAACAGAAGTCAGTCCAGCTGTGTCATGTACATATCTTGAGTTGGCTGGACAGAATTGGATAGTACAATCATAGGCATTTCCATCAAACAACCAAATCATAGAAGTATGTTTCACAGAAATGCAGTCCATTTCAAGAACAAATCAGAGTATTAACACAAACGACATTGGAATCAGCTGACTCTGACTCACTGTTTCCCCTTAACCACAATAAAAATGGATCAGGTAAGGAAGTAATCTTGATGGCGAAAAAAAATTAATATCAGTTTTAAAAATTATTATTAATCATGTAGGAAAGAACTATAAAACGGATCCCCTTTCGAAATAAGATTGTTTGACCGACACCATTTTTTGTTTGCTTTTCTTTCGATTTGCTCATTCAACAACGCTGAAGACTTGGACAGAATGATTCTTCAATCGCCTCAAATAAAACGGGAAATGAAAGGAGGGGGGCTGGAAACAATGGAAGGAACAGGGGGATTCAGTAACAAGGAACAGAAAAGCGTATTTCCTCTCCTCCAAAGCAAAAGATGCCAGGGAGAGGAGAGAAGAGAAGAGAAATATTCCTACGCATTTCAAGGACTCCCTATATGTCCCAGATTTTGAGTTAATGCTGAGAATTATTTACGATGGTTCAAATGATAAACTGATTGCTTCATCTTCTGATGAAGCACATTTAAGCAAAAGGAAAAGGAACAGCAGGCCTTTTCGTTTTTGAGTGAACTAGTCACCTCCCCCCCTCTCCAATATGGAAGGAAAGCTGGTGAGGGGGAGGGGTGAGATACTGTAATAACAACATAAAATTCAGATGGAAATTGTTTAAGAATAGAGGGGGAGGAAAGAGAGTATATATGTTGTTGGGTTTGATTTTTTTTTTAAAAAAAACTTGCTTTACTTCAAACAAAGCTCTGCTGAAATCTAGGCGTGATCAATCTTCTCGGCCAAAATGCCTTGACAGCTTCTGGCCCTTAAGAACACATTTCGAGCTTCGTGCCCTTTCCTAGATGAAATGTGACTGAGCAAAAAAGAAGAAAGGTTGTTGAGGGGGAGGAAGAAACTCTAGTAAATAAGCAAGAGAGATGCTGCTGCATATTTTTCCAAACGGATCCCACCTTACTCTACCCTCTCAGTGAAGGGTAGAAACTTCAGCTTAACTCGCCTGGAAGACAGCCACAGGCCTAAGGATTTTATTTCATTATTTATTTTTGGAATATTGATGGTAATAACAAGGCGTTGCTGGTGTGTGTGTGTGTGTGTGTGTGTGTGTGTGTGTGTGTGTGTCTGCGCGCGCGCGCCTGTGTGCGCCCCATCTTCTGTATGTTATACCTAAAAGAACCCCATAAAGGAGGTAAGGCGAGCAAGGGAGGCGGCTGGGGCAATTCGGTTCACTGAGGCTTTGTGAGTTAAATTGGTGTGGGAAGGGATATTGGGAAGATTTTTGTTTTTATTTTCTGTAGGCTGGATTGTGGGTTTTCTTTTCTTTTCCAGTAGGCAATCTAATAGAAAAACTACCCAGAACAAAGAGCTTTTCTTCTCGGTTGTCTTTTTTAAAGTAGCATTTTTTTTTATTTTCTTACTTCTGTATTTTCTGTAAAAACACACATTTTCTTCGTGCAGATAAACTATATGCAAGATGAAGAGAAGGAATAAATAAATGTCTTTGAAATCAGATTGGAACAAGGGGATGGGGGTGGTAACCCACTTCCTTTGTCTTATATACCTTCTTAAGGGTCAGTTTTTCTGTCCTCATAGCAGAGTTTTCTCTCTTTTTCTCCCCCTCCCCCTCAACGCCATAAATTCATGTAATGCATTTTTCTTCAATTAATTTTGAAAGTGGGGCGGAGGTTTAACACTTACAGTCCCTTTCTATTTAATCTTTTCCCAAAAGATAGAAGTTTCAAACTGATTCCTCCACTCTAATAATTATATTTTAAATAGTTTTGCTTTTTCAATAGATTTGATTATTTCCTATTCAGCCTGCAGCCATACAGCTGTTAAGTATAGAGGAAAATGGTTCAGCGAAGATAAAATGCAGTAAATATAGAATGCAAAATTAGAACGAGGAATTTATTATATTGCACAATCACTGGGCCCCTGGAAGCTTTTCAGATACAGAGGAGAGAAAAGAAGAAAAATACCAGAGATATTTTATTTAGTGAAAAAACGATATAATATTTTAGAAAGGGAAACCAATACGATGGCAAATTTATTGAGATTAAACAAAATAACCAGATCATACGGTGGCATATCCCCCATATACATATACATATACATATACATACTGAGGTCTTCCTAAACAAATTCAAGACAGGCAATAAACCCCGTGTTAAAATTACATGTTTTCTATGTTTGGAAATAAAGGTGGGGGGAATGGTTCCATCTATGGATTCTCCATGTTTGTTAGCACAGATGTATTTGAGGGACAGAAAGGATCTGGTAGGGCTGCATCAAAAGCTTGTTTAGAAATTGTGTATGCGTATGTATTTATGAGTGGGAGGGGTTCTATACATTCACCTATATTATATAAATGATTTTTTCTATTCTCCCCCTCCCCCTAACCCCTTCTAGAAAGAATGAGAAAGATTGGGATGTGAAAGGAAATTAGATTAACAAGATGTGCGGGAATGATAACAATTCCGCAATTCCTGTAGCCAGAGAGGGGAAGCAGCCTAGTTGGTGGGGGGAAACTATAAGGTTTAGCTCTTTCAAAGCTGACCACGTCGCTTCGCGAACAGATTTATTGTTGCGGAATCCGTTTCTTCATTACTGGGATGATAAATTGTATATGCCTGTAAACAAATGTGCTTTGAATCCATGCCATACCAAACATGAGCCCACACGCTCTTTTTAAGTCCACGGACTCTTAATTCAGTTTCGTTCTCTTTAGGAAAACAACGAGACTTGCCCACCACCGTTTCTCGATTGTCCATTTTGTCCCGTGGGGCAAAGCGTGCGGGTAAAACAACCTCCGATCGTTTCCCCTCGCGCGGAGGCGAGAAGAAATCGAGAGCCTCCCCAGCCAACAGGGGAAAACAGCCTGCAGCCGGGCAGCCTGCGGCCTCCAGAGAAATGTTGAAGCACCTGAGCTTCTTCTTTCGAGGAAGAGGCTCCTCCAGAAACAGCCTTTGTTTCTCCCCCAGCTCGCTAGCTTGGAGCAGAGTCCACCACTTTGAAGAGAACAGCCGTGGACAAGACGAGAGACTGAGACCACCTTGGACAAAAAAACAAATCTGCAAAGAGAGATGCCGACAATCAGCCACGGTCAGAAATCAGAATCTTTTCCAGCTTGGAACAGTTTAAGCGCCATGTATAGTGCGGCTCTTCTTTGGGGAGGTCGCCAGGCAAGCGCTGACTCAGGAAAATTACTCGGTGAATCTGTCTCTGGGTCTGGAGTCAAACGCGAACCACCGGAACGCTTGCTCGACCAGCCTTGATGGTGCTGGAGGAAGCTTTGTTCGATATTAAGGCGACAGAGAAGAGCGCCTACCTTCTGGAAATACTTAAAATTTTGGCAGCTTTAAAAGTCCAGTCAGAAGGAAGAGAGGTCTGGGAAGCGGATTTAAAAGCTTGGCTGTGCATTTAAAACTCAGGGGGCTCAATCGTTCCCGATGTTCTTTTACTCGCTCCTTTTGTCTTTGGATTCGGACTGGAGGATGGCATTCAAATGATTTATCATAAATTTCTATTACTCAGAATAAAAGCTTTTATTTAGTAAGTTAGTTTTAAGAAGTGCCTTTTGAAAACAAAACCATGATCCTTTGTTATCAAATCCCAGTTTACCCGTTTTCTAATTAGATTATCTATAGACCTCCATTACTTTCCTACTTTGATGTGTTGTTTTCCAGATTTTATTGCATTATTTATTTTTTAAAAATAAAAGAATTCTGGTTCCTTTTTCAAATGATATTCTCTTTGTATGCCATTGAACATACAGCCAGTCAATATTTCCTGAATACTCAGGGTAAAGAAGTTTATTTTTAATATCTTCATATATATAAATATGAACAGATGGGGATAAATAAAAAATTTAAACACTTAGATTATTCCAAAAAATATAAATAAATCTGAAAGTTCACCAGCATACACACGATTAAAGACGTACACGTATTAATCATTTTGCTCAGGAGCCCCTGTTCAAGCGCCCTTTTTCTTATTATCTAAAAGAAGTGCAATTAAAATAAAAAATGTTTCCCAGATGGGATTGATTTTGTAGGAACAAATTCACATTTAAGAACTGTCTGTATAGAAAATTTGTTCATAATACCCTGTTTTGATAAAAGAGTCAAAGGTAAGAGTATAAAGCCTATGTATACTCTCAAAGCAAGATCACAAGGCAAGAGTTCAAGAAGATAAATATCCACTATTGAAACTAGAGAGCAATTCAAGCAACAAATATTGCTACGTCACATAAACTGGAAAACGCATTTTACCAAAAGGAAAACACATCAGAATAAAACCCAAAAGCAAATAAAACTGTTTGTATTGGGTAGCGCAGTGGGGGGGATTAAAAGTTGGGTCCCCCCCCCCAATTTATTTAAAAAAAAACTTGGGAAGCTTTTAAGACTCACTGTATAACCAATGTTACATTACAGATGGGTCAGTTTGGGTGCTTCCTGAATTCTTCCCTGAGAAGGATGGTGAGAAGTAAGATCTGTGTATGTTGGGTGCTGATCACAAGGTCCGTGATGATGGTTGTTGCCCATTGCCCCACTATAGTCCATATTGGCAGAGGATGGATGAGGGAGATGAGTTAGACCAAAAATAGATGGTCCTGAATTTCCCATGGTATCCACATAATTGCCCCCAACATAGACGGGGCTTCCCTGTATATGCGGATTGCCATAACCATTGCCTTGAAGAGAGTGAGGGTCGTATTCAGGAGTCACTGCTGCAGTTCCCGCGTACCTCTTTTGAGGAGGAGGGCAGTTATTGATAGGAGCCGGATAGGATGTAGTGATGCTATAGGTATTCGGATGGGTCTTGCTGAAAGATGGCGGTGACTGGGGCTCATATGGAACACTGTTGACGAGGGAATGCATAGAATTCAGGTAGCCTCCAGCAGCTGGAGGGACAGGACTTCTGCTTGGGGATTGTCCTCCGGAAGAGGTCATCATGCCTTTGCCCTTCTGATCCTTTTTGTATTTCATCCTGCGATTCTGAAACCATATTTTGATTTGTCTTTCAGTGAGATTTAGGAGGTTAGCCATCTCTACCCTTCTTGGCCTGCAAAGGTATCTATTGAAGTGGAACTCCTTTTCCAGTTCTACCAGCTGGGCACTGGTGTAAGCTGTGCGAGCTCTTTTAGAAGAAGCTTGCCCTGGGGGGCTTTTATCACCAGCACAACTCTCACCTACATAAATCATACAAAGAACAAAATAAGTAGGATGATACCTAGCATACTATGACCAGAAATAATAAAAAACTACTACTTGCTAAATTTGCAAGTATTCTGAGAGATCTAATGTTAGAATGGCTCACTCTGCCCAAACAAATAGCAAATGTATTTAAATGGAAGGAAGGCTGATCAAAGGCCATTTGCTGCCTGAGTCAAAGTACATGTGGTGTTCTTCCATTCATTCAACTATCCTGTGTTGAATCAATCATGCTGAATGGTCAGTGTCTCCCTCATACTGAGGCTAGCAAGCTTTCAGAAGAAGAGCACCGAGGGAACATTACTGATCCTTTCAAATCTGGACCCTCCAAATATATTTGACTTCTAATTTCTTATCCCCAGAATAGCTATATAGAGTGAGGATTATAAGAATTGAAAACCATCAGGCTAAAGAATATTCTGATCTTTTCCCTCCCATTTTAATTCTCTGATCTAGTAATAATTGCCTGAAGCAACCATTTCTAGAAAAGGAACCAGTCTTCAAAAACTACTAGAAATAACAGCTCCTCGGAAATGTAATTTTTACAAGAAAGATAAACAAAGCAACTAATGATTGTCAGACTACTCTTCCTCAGCGCCAAAACCACAGAAATTCCCTGTTATTTGAATTAGATTATTGTTAATAATATGGATATCTTATATCAGTCAAATCAAAATATAATCCTGATAGCAAACATCCATTTTCCCTCCACTTTCTTCTTAAGATAACCTCGGATACACACCTGCAGTAAAATATTTCTTGGCTTAAAGCCAGTTTCAGCCCATTGAAAAGAATAGAATGAAATAAGAGATTTCAAGGCCAAATCTGTGATTGAGTTTAAAGGGATATACTTTTGATGCCAAGAAGGGGCTCTGTATTACAAAACCCATCAGGCTCAATTATCTCAAGCAATTTGGAGGTATTATGGGAGATGCAGTCCAAATCAACTGGAGGACACTTTCTTCCCTACTCTTAAAGTGTAAATGTAGCCTGTTTTGATCAATTTTTAAATACATGTAACGGTAAACTGTTTATTATTTATTTACTTAATTGTCCTGTGTCTATAGGGAGGGAGAATACTGAGCTGTTTTTAAAAATGCCCTGCACTTTTCTTCACATTAGCGAAGAAACCTCTGCTGAAGCTACTTTGATTCTTAGAGGATAGTCTTTTGGAAGATATACATTGTTCTTTCAAGTTTTATATGCTTAAGCTTAATTTATGTATCTAGGCTTCTGGCTATTGGACTTAATGATGAGATAAGGCTGCAGCCGAAAGGCTTTGTAGCTGCTATTTCCAAATACAAGCATTTAGCATCTAGTCTTAGTATTCTGATTGACAAGATATATAGGTTCTGGTTTGGTAAACTAAGATGCGTGTGTGTGTGTGTGTGTGTGTGTGTGTGTGTGTGTGTGTGTGTGTGT